AGCAGGAATGAAAAAAAAAAAAAAAAAAAGACACAAGAGGAAAATGTGTTTATGTATAAAATCAACGCAAAGTGCTTTTTTGTAGTACAGTACACAATAAATGTTCAAAATTGCGACCATCAGCAGTAATACATGCTTGGTAATGTTGCAGAAGGCACTGACGGTCATTTTGAAAGACAGGCATTTCGCGCTTGCTTGCAGCCGCAATGGATAGTCGTGCAACGAGGTCCTCTGGTGAATCAATGGGAGTCTCGTAAAAGTTGTTCTTCAGATGGTCCCATAAAAAAAAAAAAAAAAAAAAAAAACAAGCTAGATAAATCTGGCAAACGGGGAGGCCATCAAATGGGTCCACCACGGCCAATCCATTGGCCCGGAAATGTCTCATCCAAGTAATTGCGGACACGCACGTCTTTATGGGCTGGTGCGAATTATGCTGCAACCACATGCAATCACAAACGACATCCCGACAGCTACGGGTGCAGCAATTCCCGTAGCACCTCTTGCAGAAAAATATGATAACATAAACTATTTGTACGTGAAGGTAAGAGGTATGGGCCTATAAGGTAGTCGTTAACAATCCCGCCCACACATTCACGGAGAAGCAGCTTTGGAATGCATGTGGACGTTTGCTGTGTGGATTATGAGTTGCCCACATGCGTATGTTGTGGCTATTGAAGATGTTGTCTTGTGAGAAAGTTGCCTCGTCCGTAAATAGCACATCCGATGAGAAATACGCCTGCACCGCACATTGCTGCAAGAACCAATGACAGAAATGAACTCAAAGGGTAATCTGTCTTTTTCAAGGCTTGGATTCTCTCCAAATGGTATAATGGGTGCAAACCATTTTCATGCAATACTCTCCAAAAGATGGAATGACTCAGTTGCAGACGACATGCAATAGCTCTTGTACTTGTCTGAGGTGATTCATGCACAATGTTCAAGATGGGTTCTTAAACGCGAGGCTGTCGTGCACTTCTTATTTCCACTCCTAGTATCAGAGGAGGCTTCAGATGATCCGTTTTCACACAAAGACCAATGCAACCTCTCAAACATTGTGTGCTTCAGCATACGCCTGTTCGTAAACCGTTCCTGGTACAACTGTAGCTCTACTCTGCCGCTCCCATTAGCAGCACCATACATGAGATGCATATTAGCTTTTTCCCTGTGCGTAAACTCACCAATCACGCTCGACATCAGAGTTGCGAATGATCCTCTGATGCATTGGATCATGGTTTGTCCTGCTGACTACCACTGCATTGCCAGTCAATCACAGCTGTAGTTCCTATTACTGTTAGTGTTCCCTTTTTTGAACTTTTATTGTGAATACTGTATTGCTGCAAAGATGCACTTTGTGTTGATTTTGTACATTTTCCTCTCGTGTCGTTTTTTGCATTCCTGCCTTAACCCGTCACTTTAGACCCTACATTCCCATACAGAAAATGCATGTTTTAGTATGCTCCACCACCCCTCCAAGTTTGTCCCATGATCTATGAAACACCCTGTATATATATGTAAGATAAAAAAAAAATATGATGGCTTTGCTCTTTGCGAACCAGCAACCTTTAATTAATTTTCTGCAATTCAGGATCGTCCCCTAACCCAGTACCTTCTAGAACATTCGCACGTATTACATAATCTCCTCATATAAATGCTGCATCATAAGTTTTTCTACATTTTTCTAGAAGCTACTGTTACATAACCTTTCATATAAATGCTGCGTCATAAGTTCTCCTACACAGATGCCTTCTCGCCTTCGTCCTGCTAACGCTTCCGCTATGCTCCTCTTTGTTAGAACGTATTAAAGTCATTCCTATCTAATAGTTCAATTACTGAATAAGTTATTTGATTAACTCCATCTGGAAAAAGTCATCTGCTCTAAATTAAAATAAACATATGCTTGCTGTTAAAAGTGAAAAGTCCTGAGTCGTCATTTTTTTCTGTCTTTCAATCATTCCAGCTTCGTCAACCATCTACCAGAACGTGTAATGGAACAGTCTCACCATTCGTCCACGATGTGTTGGAATAACTGAAAACATTACAGTTATTAATTAGCTGGCAGGATTTATCCTCTACATGGGAAAAAAGCTCCTGGATTTATTTCTAATGCGCTTCTAAATTCAACAGTGGGTCAAGGACAGTGTGTGATCGTCTTATGCTTTTGCGATTTTTTCCAGTGATGCTTAAGTGTTTTACCTCGCTTCCAAAGTTATGCGTTTTATCAAGTGCTTCTAAAGTGATTGATTTTAGTGTTCAAATTGATATGTATGTGAACTCTTAAATTCAAGATTTTGTGATTAGAATGCTAACACGCTCAAAAACGGCAAAAATGTCAACTCATAAGCAAGAATCCGTAGCTATTGTGGATACAGTGAAATTTCAATTCCCCATTTTTGATGGCACAAGTACAAATTTTCCAATAGACAAATATCTTCTATTGTTTGAAGAGAAATGTGCCGCAAAGAACATTTCAGAAAAGGAAAAGAAATTTGTTTCCTCAGAGTGTATTAGAGGAAAGGCTTTAGCCCTCTATTTACGTGATTGTTTAGATAAAGACTGAAACAACATAAAGGATATTTTCGAGACATACTTCACAACATCGGAATCTGTTACTTTTAATGATTTTGTGTCTTTAAAATACGAGAAATTTAATAATATTGATTTTTATTTTTGTAATAAGTTGAAATTAGGAACCAGCTTGAAACTACCAGATTCCACAATGGTGGAAGCACTTACGGAAGGACTTCCTGAGTCTCAAAGAATGCTGTTAACAGTGCAAAAAATAGACACACCGAAAGACTGGATTACTCTTGCTAGGAAACTGTTTCCAGTTCAGATGCCGTTGGATGGTCTAGGAAATAGTAATTACCAATTTGTTTCTCCAAGGCAAACTGTTCCGAGGTGCTATTATCCCAGACCAGTGCAAGCCACTCCTTATCAAAGTTTTCGTAGTGTGAGACCTTTTAATTATCAACAAGTGCAATACCGACCTCTACAGTATGCGTATCGGCCAATTCGATATCCACAATTACCTGCTATTAATTATACACGGTTCCTAAAAGAGAAGTTAAAAAATGATATTACTTTAAAGTGAATGTCCAAATTGGACAGGAACAAAATTCCCAGTATTATTGATACGGGATCGCAAATTAACATGTTTTACCCGTTAAAAATTTTTAACAAAATTGGTGATAAATTTAGAGAAATTTCAGTGAAATCCCATGATAAAATATTTTCAATATCTACTCAAGTTCATATGAGAAAAATAATCAAAATAAAGTGTAAAGTAGGTAAAATAGAAAATAATGTGATATTTTATGTAGTAGATTCAAATTTGAATTATTTATTGCTTTCATCACCATGTGTTCATTATTTAAATTACAATTGAATTTTCATAATTATGAAGTGTATCAGCTGGAAAACAGGTAAGTAAAAATGTTAAAGTAGACAAGTTTTTCCAAAATAATTATGTATGTAAAATGATATCAGTGCTGAACAATCCAGTAAAATTTTGATAATAGCGAAAAATTTTGTATGTAAAAATGATCTTAGTACTAAAAATTGTGGTAATTATTTTGAAAATAGTAAAAATTCTGATAGTAAATTACAGAAAATTGTTGAATGATTATAATCATATATTTGCAAAAAGTAAATATGATGTTGGTTTTATAAGGGTTGAACCTCCCAGAGTTATATTAACTTCTGAATTACCAATAGCCTATAGACCATATAGAGTATCTCCTAAAGATAATAGTGAAATTAAAAAAACAAATAGATGAATTGTTAAAAGCTGGAATTATTAAACCTTCTTATAGTCCTTATGCTGCTCCTGTAACTTTAGCTTATAAGCGAGATGAGCAGTCCAGAAGCAGATTGTGTATTGATTTTAGGAAGCTTAACCAAATTACTAAAACTGATTCTGAACTTATTCCTAGAATTGATGCTGTATTAGATCAATTAACAAATGCAAAAATCTTTTCTACATTGGATGTAAGATAAAAAAAAAAAAAAAATACGATGGCTTTGCTCTTTGCGAACCAGCAACCTTAATTAATTTTCTGCAATTCGGATCGTCCTTAACCCGTACCTTCTAGAACATTCGCACCTATTACATAACCTCCTCATATAAATGCTGCGTCATAAATTTTTAACATTTTTTAGAAGCTACTCTGTTACATAACTTTCATATAAAGCTGCGTCATAGTTCTCCTACACAGATGCCTTCTTGCCTTCATCCTGCTAACGCTCCGCTATGCTCTCTTTGTGGACATATTAAAGTTAAAGTCATTCGTATCTAATAGTTCAATTACTGAATCATATTGATTAACTCCATCTGAAAAAGCCATCTGCTTAATTAAAGTAAACCTAGTGCGTAAATTGAAAATCCTGAGTGTCATTTCTCCGTCCTTCATCATTCGCTCGTCAACATCTACCAGACGTGTAGTGAATAGTCTCCCATCGTCCACGATGTTTGGAATAACTGAAAATTACATAATAATATATATATATATGCAGCTTTGCTGGCTGGAGGGCTAAACGGTGCCTTAATTATTACAAGGATGCTATTTAACATCTGAATGTTGCTGACAGAAACATGATAAATCTAAATATGCTTCATCAACAGCAAGAAAAGGGGATGTATAAAGAGTATGTCACACCACATTAATGTGTCATCTCTTTATCCTCATGTAGTATATCTTATCCACTTTTTTATTTCCATACTCTCACAATCATTGTTTCTGTGGCAAATTTTGACCAACATATTTTTGCAAATGATTCTGATTATGGTTTCTGCAGTAGTAAGCTGCAGATTTCTGTCATACTAGAAAAGGAAGAAACACTGAATATAAAAGAAGAAAAGAAAATACATAATGAGTTAACCTCTATTTCAGTATACTAAAATTTAGTATCAATTGCATAATTTATTTTTTATAAATTTTCAAGAGCTCAATTCAGCAGTTTAACAAACATTAAACTCTACTTTTAGTGATAATATTCTATACCTAGGATCAGTGATTCTTAAAACTTCTCTTGCTAAACGGCCAATAAAATTCACAGACAAATTATCTAAAGGAGCAAAACAAGGTATAGGAATTGTGCGAGACTGATAAATGCTTTGCCAATCTTGGACCTGTAAAAAGAAATTAAAGGAAACCTTTACAAACACAACATGACTCAAAAAGTAAATAATTATGTGCAGAACTGAATAAAATAACACTGTAAAGCATTCATTAAAATTTTATAGATGCCCGAAATATAATTAATATGATATTTTATCAATGTTCCATTCAACTGCTTTCACTTTTAAATTACAAAGTATTTATTTAAAAATAAAAACTGACTGTTATTTTCTTAAAACTGATTCAAACTGAACAAAACATATTCAAGAATTATTAATCGAACATAATACTTTTTACTTCAGATAAAAATTAATACCTTTAATACTTAATATTTTAATAATTAAAGCTTTATTACTTAATTACGAAAAATTGTTAAAATCTAATTATATTATACTGTCAAAGTCGTTATTGGACACCCATAATCCGACCTCAAGCTACAAATTTCTGCGATGCGTCGGTGACTAAGCGCGTAAGACCTTTAGTTCGAAATCGTGTGCGCGTGCTCAAATGCGTTTACAAATGGCGTTAATTATAACGGACGTATAACTAAGCTAAAAAATCTAATTCAGTTAATGTCCGATTGCGTTGTTCCTTATCTTCAAATTGATTCGTTTATTATTTTTGCAGACTGTTAGAGCAATTTATAAAATAAGCTTAACTTCGATCTTAATAATAAAACAAGTGTATGTGTCTGTCTGTCTGTTGACCGAGCTCTCCAGCTAATCTATCGCACGCAGGGACCTGGAATTTTTTAACGGAAGCACAAAGGGGCTGGCCACCAGACGCGAAGCCCGATTTTCATTTTGAATTAGAAAAATTTTAAAAAAATTATTTATAATTAATTATCCGGTTTTTTGACTCACTGATATTATTATTTGTTTTCAAATACGTCGATTGAACAATTGATTTCTTTATTCTAGCGTTAGTTTGAGTTTTGACATACATTAAATCGATTAATTACAATTCATTTCTTTTGTAGCTTGTGGGGGGGGGAAGAGAGAGAGACAGTCTACATGTCCTACACTACTATTCCTGCGCTATTCCTTATCTGCTTTTCTAAAGCACGGGCAACGCCGGGGCGGGTACACCTAGTGTCAAATAAAATTTCTGATATATATTTATAATATGTAAAGGCTACAAAGCGAAAGTTTTCGAGTCCATTAAAACAAAAGTGGAATGATCAAAAATGGATAAGACAATACTTTGTATCAAACTTTAACGTTTCTTTATCAAATTTGTTTATCTTTAACGCCGCGGCGCGGCAATGACGGAAGTTGATTTGTCAGCACTATCCTTATCTTCAGGGCAGTGTTTTATTTTATTGGCTTATATTTCCTTACTAAATTGTAGTATTTCATCTCGATGTACTCCATCTTTGATATGATGTATAATGTTGCGCACCTACAACTTGCACGCAACCAAGGGTGACTGGGAAGCTTGTATAAACCACGAGTCTTGTAAAGGGTTTAAGTCCCTTTTTATTCAACGTAATGAATTACATTGCGTGCTCTTGACGCTTACAAACGGTGCCAACTCGGCAGTCAAATAAAAATAAGAACCTGAAAAGAAAGTAAAGACAATATTCTAACTACGAGGCTCTCTAAAATAACTACTTACCGCGTTTTACAAATACCGCAGCTAATTCAGCAGACTTGAAGGTCACTGGAACAATTGAACTACTTCCGCCAAGCACATAGGCCGCAACGCGGGGTTCTTCAATTCTCGATTTCTACCTCAGCGCTTGCTAAGTAAGAATAACTTTCTCTCACCGAACTCGTTTCCTTCTATTTAAATCATACTAATTCCCGCTGATATTTGAATCTTGCGCGTTCTACTCAAATTTACATATTCTGGCATTGGCTTCCAGGGGAAAGTAAGGCTTGACAGGAAAGATAGTTTAAACTTAAAATAAATGTTAGTTAAAATAAATATAAAACCCTACAGATTTAAATCAAATTCCTGGTCATTATAATCGCTTCCGATAGCAAAGAAGTGACAGAGGTTATTGAAACGAAAAAATTTCGATTGACAATTAGTCAGTATTCTCGACACAGCAGCATTATAGGACTTTAACAGCGGATCTTTGTAACTGAACAAGAAATATGTCTGTTTTAAACTAAGGTAGTATTATCACATAAAAAACAAGCAACTTAAACAACTTACTTGAAAGAAATGTTTAATAAAATAAACAAATAAATATTAAGCTTTTTTTTATAATTTTGATACCCTTTAGATCATAACTGTTCTTTATTCATAAATTACGGTTTCATATTTTTAATTTATAATTTCTGCAGCCATCTACCAGATTTAAACTGATAATCTATAATCCGGAATCGCCGAAGTCCCGACGAGTCCGGATTAACGACTTTTGACTGAAGCAAAGCCTTCAAACATCTTTGAAACACAAAGCAGAAGAATCCTGCTTTGTGATTGGTAGTGAACAAGAATTACAACGCGTGTTTTCCCTTTATAATTAAACACATTAAGAAAGCCTCTAAATTAGCATATGAAATAAATTTATTTTTGCGTTGTATAAATTTATATTCACAGCACGTCTGCAGTAAAGTAATAATTTATTTTTATACAAAAAATAGAAATTAAACCACATAAATTTTGAGTTCGTTTTACTGGAAAGTTGTTCATATTCTGAAGAACTCCATATTAAGAATGTCGTCAACTGTTTCAGGAAAAATATAAATATAATTATTTATTTACATTATTTATTGTTTTCTCATTTAAAAAAAATTATTAAAATTACTGTATCATTTTTTCTTGTATATTAAAATAACATTAAAAAAATTTAGCCTCATGTGATTTTTATAATAATGATTAAAGGAGTTGAAATTTACGTAAAATATAAGGATTCAGCTTGCAATTTCGTAGTTATTAATTATTAAATAAAAATATTAGTATATAGCATTAAAACACATTAAAAACCCTCTATTTTTGCACATATTTCATATTTTTTTTGTTTTTTTTTTTTTTTTGAAAGGAAGAAAAAACTATAAAATGAGAAATAAAAACACAGGTACTCTGACTTGTAGTTTTTTTAAAAGGTTTTTTTTAGTATTCGTATAATATTCGTAAAAGTAATGAATAAAAATATTATGTTGTCGGCAATTTTTAGTAGTACATTTCATTTCGTTAATTTTCATAAAAATAACATATGTAAAATATGATAAAGTGTCGTTAGTATCTTCAGTTTTTTTTATTCTTAAAACTTTCGTAAAGATAACATGCAAAAACTACCACACCCTTATTTCACCAAAATTATACATATATTTTTGGAGGTATGCTGCCTGGGGAGTTACCTTGTTTAGAAGGACATGGCGAATTATGCCAGCTGCAAATCAACTCGTAAGCAAAAACAACTTTTGAGAATGGACTTTGGAAAGCACTTTGGACTTTCATCCATATCCAATCACTTCTGGGATCTGCATTTATTGTTGCACCAAACTCACTTTTTATTACTGGTGACAGTTTGTTGCAAAACTCTGTTCTTGTTCTCTCTCAGGTGAGGAAGGTACCCTCCTCTATCTGATGTGCCTTTTTATATGGTAATATAATCATGTCCCACTGGTTTCAAGAATTCCTTCTTTTTTGCTCTTTTGTTTTCACCATGTACTCAATAATCAGTATTTGCTTAAAAAAAATATTAGAATTGCACAAACTCAAGATTGATGCAATTCAGCATTGTGCACAAGCCAAAATAGATAACGTAGTATATGCAATACCTAGTTGCCACATAAATACTTTTTTGTGACATTGTGGGTTGCTATATAACTATTTTGGGGCATACTGCTTTGCCTTGTAAATGCTTTTTTAGGACTTTTCAGTGGTATTATGGATAATCAAAAAGTACCATTTAAATATATAATAGTTTTTTAAAATTTTAGTTCATTTTAAAATCTTAAATGTAGTGATTATTTTCTTTTTTGGATTACACATTTGACACAAAAAGAAAAAAAAAAATCAATCAGTATCACATTACTAAATGAATAAGAATTTTACCTTACTTTTCAGTTAGTATTTTTGGGAAATTATGTATTTTTCGGAACTACTCTTATATGCGCCCTCAGGTCGCCAAATTTCTCGCCATTTTTGGCGAGAAACTCCACGGTGGCATATTACTATCTAAATTTTTTGTCTACACTTCAAATTTTAAGCCTAAAATGTCTTCACAAACGCGTTTTTCGCGCATGCAAAAACCATGTTTTGAACACACAATTTAAGCTAAAAATCCAAAACAAAAGAAAAGAGAGAAAAAAAATTAGATAGCAAAAATGTAAAGTTCCTAACCAAAAATATTTGACAAGAATCCATGTACACAACGATATGTTTTAACTTAAAAAAAAAAAATCTATGAATTGCACAATATAGGCAGTGAAAGAATCTGCGAACTACGCACACCTTGCTTTAATAAATTATCATAACAACAATAAATTTCAAAGAATACTATGCACACAGCTTTCTGTTTAAACTTAAAAAAACATCTACGAATTGCACAAGCTAGGCATTACGCACAAATCAACAAAATAAACTAAAATAAATTACAAACAATTCAAATAAAACAGAAATTCATAGTAAAAAAACAATGAACATAACATTCTACAAAATAAAAACAATAAAATAAAATACACTTACCATAATACATACGGGAATAAAATTTCGCCAGTCACATCACGTCTGCCAACAAAAGTGGCACAATTTTGCTATATCACATGTCTTTTTGCGATTCAAAATTTTGAAAGTAATGATAAAAACTTCCTCCAAAGTTAACTTACGAAAACCACAATCCGAATCTTAAATTTCGCTGACAGCCACATACTTTAGCGGCAACCATTTGACTGCAAACCCACACAAGTCTACCAAGGAACACTATTCTTCGTCCGACTTCCCATATCAGCTCCGCATTTCGGACACGCCAAACGCCGTTTTTTTTTTTTTTTTTTTTTTTTTTTTTTTTCTTTTTTTTTTTTTTTTTTTTTTTTTTTTTTTTTTTTTTTTTTTT